ATTACACAAGTATGCATAGACCACCTGCAAACATGGATAGACATTGAAGACGAATAGCACTCGATTAAAAAACGAATTGAACAGAACACGGACAGAATAACGGAGAGATTGAATAATCTGGAACACGGGGAGAATGAATAATCTGGAACAGGAAGAGAATGAATAATCCGGAACACGGAGAGAATGAAGAATCTGAAACACGGAGAGAATAAAGAATCTGGAACACGGAGAGAATGAATAATCTGGAACACGAAGAGAATGAATAATCTGGAACACGGAGGAAATAAATAATCTGGACTACGGAGAGAATGAATAATCTTGAACACAGAGAGAATGAAGAATCTGGAACACGGAGAGAATGAAGAATCTGGAACATTGAGTGAATGAATAATCTGGAACACAGCGAGAATGAATAATCCGGAACACGGGGAGAATGAATAATATTTGAACACGGAGATAATGAATAATATTTGAACACGGAGATAATAAATAATCTGGACTACGGAGGGAATGAATAACCTTGAACACGGAGTATGAAGAATCTGGAACACGCGACGAGAATGACGAATCTGGAACACGAAGAGAATGATTAATCTGGACTACGAAGAGAATTTATAATCTGGAACATGGAGGGAATTAATAACTGGGAATGCAGACAGAATGAATAATCTGGAACACAGAGAGAATGAATAATCTGGAACACAGAGAGAATGAATAATCTGGAACCATAGACCTTAGAAAACAGGGAATGCAACTTCTGTCTGAGACAAAGGTAAATCCAGTTTCCTGTGTGCAACGTGGGTTATAATATCCTGTATAGATAATCCCATTAATAAATATACCTATACATCTGAGACAATTTTAGTTCTTACTTTTCTACGCTTTTTTATATGTTTGATAAGTTATGCTGTGCCAATATTCACATTTGTCAGTGTATAACGGGTGCACTATGCTATATCTGTTCTAAATATGATGAAAAATCCACACAAATGTTGACAGGTCATTGTTTACGTTTAGGCAGTTTTGTTTTCTTGTAGAGAAAACTGACCATTTTTATTTCCCTTTCCTGTTTCTATAGTGGAATAAAAACTGTTAACTTTGCAATTTTTAGTTTCACTCGTATCAATAGAATGGACTTGGCTATTCAGTTTTAATCGAATGTAATTTTTCTGATTATATTCCAACCACAAAATTGTCTCATTTTGTGTAGCTACTCCCTGGTAGCCATGTTTGGCTTATGTAACA